ACATACATACATACATACATACATACATACATACATACATACATATATATATATGGTCGTTAGAGGTATAAAAGCCACACACCTGATCGATGTGCATGGCCGAACACAGCTGCTGCATCTTCTGCCTAACCATTTCGATGTTATTGAGTAGTACGCAGGCTTTCTGCGATACCCGATAGAAGTCGCCTTGATCATCACTTTCCATCCTACACCAAATGAAAAATGCATCAACGGTGAGAGTAGTCTTTGGCTCTGAGGGGTTATTTGAGGGTTTTTTCGTGTATACGTGTGTATGTTGGTTTTTTTGTGTATGTGTGTATGGTTTTGGGTTCATATCACTATTGTATCGTGATTGTGTGCATTTCTAAGTGTTTAGCGCCTCCTCGGAATTTCTGAAGTGCCGCGACTACGGAACCGTTGGAGTATGTATGAATGTGGTACACACCACCATGAGTACATGCACGCACGCACATGAATAACGTTAAAAGCTAAAACGCACAATGATATTCATAAAAACATGACAAATGTCATACCTACAACTATTGCGCAGCTACGACTAAGAGTTGGGACTGTGTGTCTCTGTCGCCTCCCCGTAAACAATAGACATGCAGTTAGTCTACGCGCCATTCGTCGTGTACATACACACAACAAGACACACCCATAACCAACACAAACATACAATCACACACACACCCATACCCAGGACTATCCATCAGCAACGACTGTGTATTGGGAATGGGTGACCGTGGCGTCTCTCCCGCCACCATAGACGCACTGTGCCCTCTCGTCCGTTGGAGAGAGTCTAACAATCCCGAGCGCTTCTCATGCAACGAGCGTAGCAACCGACTGCTTTGCACACAGTACTCACGCAGCGTCACAGCCACACTCTCAGCAAACACCCGCACAAAGTGCGCGTACTGCTCGCGATCCTCCCACTCGAGTTTGTCCAGAAACGAGTACAGCTCAAAGTACCGAGAGAGCAACCGCGTGGAGGAGACCGAGTGCAGCTCGAGGCTGGATGTGGGTTGCCAGGTCTCTTGTTCTAATAATAGCTCCACGTTGGCGGTGGAGTTGGCCCGAACTTCGGCCAGCCATGAGGTGATGTAGGGCGCCCACGTGTTGGTGAGATCGAAGCCTTTGAAGTCGCCCGAGTTTTCGGTGCACCAGGAATTGAATTCTTTGAGTCTGAGCGGAAACCCGTGCAGCTATGAGCGAGTGCGATGGCTTTATATTCGATTCGTCAGCACCTCTCTGTGCGTAGGTATATTGGATACGTGACCTAGCCCATACTACGATCCATAAGTAGTGGGCCTAGGTGACTGTAAAGCAATTAACCACACCTTCAATAAAGTTAATATACTCTACCTGGTACGTGACCTAACCCATACTACTATCTACTACTATCCATAAGTAGTGGGCCTATGTGACTGTAAAGCAATTGGCCACACCCGCTCCTGAGTGCTGGACCATTAACACAGCAGCCAATAGTCATGCACGTGGACTATAACCTGTCCCTACACCCGCTCCTGAGTACTAGTCAATTAAGCAGGAACTAGAACTAGTGGGCTATGTTGGTTGACTAAAAATAACCTCAAGCCACTGGTCCTGATTTTCATACGAGATTTGTATTCCGTATTTTGGTTGTGCTTTACTATCATACGATTTAGTTTGCATGTCACACACTGCTGTCGACCACAGAAACGTTTTACGGAACGGCGTACGAGCCCTTCGTATCCGGGAGTTAACGGAAAACAACAGATAACAAACATACTTGAAGTATAAGGAGATGACCTTCTCATTGAACGAGCCCTGGAAGTGTTCCAGCATGACGCAGTCGATGTCTGTCCATAGCAGCTGCCCGAACGTCGTCACAGACACCTTAGCACAAGAACCGACGGACACGTGTCAGCATCACCCATATATCCGTAAACGTAAACGTATAGGCCGCCCGTTCGTACGTTTATTCTGGATGCGTTCAACCGGAAAAGAATACACCCGGAACAAAGTAGCATGCGCACCCGGGATTACAGTGTCACGTGTGTACCTGACAGCACATGCGTACACGCAGAGAGACGCGGTACTACTCAAGTACAATCATAACAGTTGCTAACAATGTACCAGCCCATACAACAAACCACAAGCACTTCAATGATAACACAAGTACAATCATAACAGTTGCTAACAGTTGCAGACAATGCACCAGCCCAACCAACAAACCACAAGCACTTATATGACAACACAAGTACAATCATAACAGTTGCTAACAGTTGCAGACAATGCACCAGCCCACCTAACAAACCACAAGCACTTATATGACAACACAAGTACAATCATAACAGTTGCTAACAGTTGCAGACAACGTACCAGCCCACACACCAACTAAAACCGCATATGAAGCGTGCCTCTACGGGTGTATGAGAAACACTACAAAGCCCATAATGGAATGCAACCTCGCAAAAC